CCATCCTGGAGAGAAATATCAGCTGTGCTGCTGCCATCAACACCTTTGTATATAGTAGATTGGCCTGTTTTTCAGTGTAGCCCTGTTTCTTTGACTGAGACTGGCTGGATGTGCTCTCTTCATCCTTTAACATGTGAGCTGGCTCAGAGCTCGTCTGTCTGGCCGTGCGTTTCCTGGCTGGGGCCGCCTTTTACAATTGCGTTTTGTATCTCTGCTTCTGTCTCCTTGAGCCCCCCTTGAACCCACGCCGAATGGTTTAGCTGGAGGTTTCTTCCTGTTAAAGGGGAGTTTCCCTTACCCTCTGTCACTACATGCATGCTTAGTGTGAGAAATTGCCTTTGAGTCAATGAGTTGATGCAATCAAGTGGTTTTCCTTAGATAGAAAACTTTGAATCGATTCAACTGTATGATCTGGTGAACTGTTAAGTGCCTTGAGCTGACATGTGTTGTGAATTGGCGCTATATAAATAAACTGAATTGAATTGAATTAAAACTGGGCAGATGTGTGCCATGGAAATATGCCCATGCCATTAGACCACCACCAGCTATCCGAAGCATTGAAGGATGCACAGCAGGATGGATCCATGCTTTTATTTTGGATTTTTATTATCCAATTTAGGTCACCCTTTGCTTCAACATTTATTCAGACATAATAAACTGCGTTCACTGGTTGTAATGAGTGTGTATTTGAGCAAATGCCCTTCTAGGCTTCCAAAACTAGCCCTCTTATTCTTCTTTAAGCTAAAATATCCTTTTCAGATAAACCTGTGTATATATGTGATTTTTTTTTTTAGAATAAAATTCCTAGGAGATCAATAAAGTCTAAAATATGGAGCCCCTTTCTTCTCCATACTGATGCTCAGCTTAAAGGAGACAACATAATCCTCATCACACCCAGATGCTTAAATAAATGGGATTTCTGACAATAAAAAGGTGGTGTGTTTTTTTTTTTATAAATTTGTAACAATTTGTACATTTAACTTAATTTATCAAAGTGATTTCACAACAACAGCCATTAAAAAAAAAAGTCTGTGTGTCTGTGAAAACAACTGCTGTTCATCCTAATGCCTAATAAAGCAGCGAGAAAGAGGAGAACGCACACATAAGGATAGTCTAACAAACAAAGATAGTCTAAGGATAGAGTGGTTTCAGTTCCATGAGCCTTAAAATAACTGTACAGTATTACACAATATATGAATGATGGATAGGTCATATAAATACTTGTGCATTGTTGGATGATTGTTATGTACAGATTTTTACATAGAATAGTGTTAGGTTTCACTTCTCCATATGGCCAAAAGGTTTACTATATAAACAATAGGGAAAGTAACTTCAAGTAACCGTTTAGACAGGAAGAACACAGCTGTGACGCAAATGAAAGCTTTGGTGGTTTTGAGTGTGCTGCATCTGTGAATCACTATCACTAACATCTCTGCTGCACGTCTCTATGATCTTCTGAACTGCATAGAAACACCATATTTTAATGAAACGTGTTTCATTTGTTACAGCTGAGAGCAACCTCGTCTGAGAGTAAACACGATAAGCATAAAAGGGTTAGATTTAACCCTAAAAGTAAACAAGATATACTGCATTATGCAATAATTGATAAAGCATTCTTCCTTAAAACTTAAACACTTCTAAATCCCTTTTTTTTGCATAAATTACTAAAGATGTCTGAGCTTTCAGTCTATCTACATATAGTTTTCAGAATCAGAATAGATGTAAGCATGCATGAAAAATCTAATAAATGATACACCATTTCAATCCAAGTTGCTGTGTTAGCTCAATAGATGGTAGAGTGAACCAAGCTCAAATCAAAGTCAGACATTTTACTCAGCACACATGGAAAAAAAGAAAGAAAAAATCACAAACAAGTAAGAGATAAAGCACAAAGAAGTAATTGACAAAGGGTGTGCAAAAAGCTCTCTTCAAACATTGCCAAATGTGGTAATGTGACAGTAGCCTTTATGAGCAGTTACTATATAAACATAGAATATACATATTTGATTTGCAAAAAAAAAAAAATATATATATATATATAATACAATACAATATAAAATGTGCAATAAAGCAGTCCAGAATGTACTGCTACTGCAAACACAAGCAGTTGGAGTCCACACAGATATTCCAGTTCTTTTTAAAGTTGAGTCATCTGGACAGCTTGTTTACCTGTGCATACACAGTCTCTGGTTGGTCTTTGACTCTACTCTTAGTGGATTCCTTACTTGAAGCTCCCACTGTGCTGTAGGTTGTAGTTGGGGAACAATCTTCATCTTTAACTGTTTCATTTCGTCTGTCAAGAGAATCCTCTACCTGGTAAATAAAGTTCAAGAAAAAAAGTTTGAAAATGTTTGGTGCAGTTTCAATTTAAGGGCTTAACCTCATGTTTGACCCCCTGTAAACTCACATTCAACCATGAGTGGTCGATGCAAAGCACCATACGAATGTCATTGTATTTAAATGAGGCCATTAATCAATGTTATTCAATGGTTACCAATGGTAACCACAGCAAAAATAGTGCAGTTTAACCAAGGTCCAAGCGCCTTGCTGTCCATAGGAGGAAACCATCAGTGCTCTACCAGACTTCATTCCCACCATAGGGTGAGCGTGAAGGTGCTTGTGATGGATCCTCCCCTCGTTCACGCCAAGACCAACAAACTTACCAGCAGACATGACGCTGAATCTGCTGCAACTACAAACTTTCTTTCTTTCTTATTCCTTTTATTTTATTTTATTTTTGGTGGGCGGTAAACAATATCATCTGTGTTTATATCAGATGTAAGAAGACTGTGTGAGTTCCTGTTGTAACCCTGTCAGGGAGAAGTAGTGGAGGACATTTCTTATTCTTTGCTACTACTCAATCTGTCCTGGTACTAGCCTGTCGCTAACTACTCAGAGAAAACTTCTTCATTAATAAAGTACCTGTTGAGTTGCACTCAGACCCAAGGCATTGTAAGGAGTTCACTGCTTTTCAGATGCACATTGTTTACACCCTGTACTGCGTCATCAAATGGAAGGAACTTCAGTTACGTGAAGCTGACACCCCTGTTGGTGCTTCATTATTGCAGCACCAATAATGCAGAGTTCAGCGACAGACCGGGCTCTGTGCTGGAGGTAAGTGAGGATGAGCAGTCAATCTAGGCCTAAATGGGCTTTAAAATGTGTAACTGTACTATTTTGAGTCTCACCAAACTCTAATATGTTGAGTTACAAAAATATTTATTTTATTTTATAATTAGTAAATCTTTGTTGTTAAAATATTCTAAAAATATATATTTCTAAGCTTATAGAGGAAAAATGCTACTCACCACAGGACATGCATATATTGTATTGTCCATGTCTTTGTTTCCTGCCAGTCAGAAAAAAAAAATAAGTGCATTTCTTTGAAATATTTCCGTTTGTCTGTGTTTATCTATTTATTCTATGATTGTTATAATAGTTTCTTTAATTAACAAAAAGGTTGCATTTGCATGGCTGCACAGTTCTTTGTAAATAAATTTGTAAATAAAACCAAAAGTAAATAATCAGTAATGTAAATAAACCCAAAATGCGTATGTATATATTACCTTAAAAAACACATACTGTACATTTTTACCCATAAAATAAAATTGCAACTTAGTAGTATTTCATTGATAATTTTAGAGTTTTCATTTAATTTTAGTTGAGTTTATTTTAAGATTAGCTCATGGTGAACTGCTTTGCTGACATGAATTTTTTCATAAAAGGAAACTGTAGAAATAGTTAAACTTCTTTACTGATTCACTCTTGGATTTTGCACTGCGTACAAGTTCATCAATCTATGAGAGGCTCAGCACTGATTCCGTGCCATTTTCTCTACCTTTGCAGATAAAAGCGTTTAACTCTACTTCTATTCTTACATGTTATTGTTTTAATGTGGATCCACTGCAGGAACAAAGGAGTCGGGCAACGTTAAAGTAAACTAAGGATGTACTAACTACAATATTAGAATACAAAAAACACAAAGAAATAAACCACTACATTACGATGAAAATCACAGCTGGTTTTCAGCATATTTCCACCATATTTGCCTTTGGGTAAAAAGTTAGAAAATACATTTTCATTTCCTGCCAAGTTCTCAGTTGGTTTTTAGTTTTCACTTTTTTTAAATGTATTTATTATAAAATATAAATTTGTGCTGTGTTTAGCTGCTGATAACAGCTCTGTGTGTGTTTTTATTGATTCTGTTTGTTTGTAGCTCCCACTTTTAAGAAAAAAGTTTAGATTTGTCAAATTTCCATGTTCCTGCTGACCAAAAGTACCCCCACACCACGATCATGTTGAAACCATGCTTCATAGTAAAGATAAGCAATGTTCAGCATGAACTTCTTTAACTATTTTTCGCCTTCTATCACACATTAAAAGGTATTCAGCAATTTAACATAAACATCCTTTATCACCATCACACTTTTGATCAATCCAACATAAAGGCCAGATATGTGGACACTGATCAGAGTTGTGATGTCACCGAAAAAAAGCATTCCATTGTGGTTAAATTATTACAATTGGGGATTGCTTTTGTTTGTTTTTTTCCCTTTTATGAATTCCAACAAATAATTTGAGATCATTTCAAAATATTGTAAAGCTATATTTACGTTTTTAAGGCACTGCATCATGACCACAAGAATGAATTTAAGCCTGAACTCACCTTTCTGACACCCTCTACGTCTGATGACTGAAATGAAAATTGCAATGACTGCAGTAACTATGATAAGCACAAGGATTATAAACATAACCCTGTTTCTGGATTCTACAATAAAAGAAAAGAAAAAGACTTTAGTGGTTGTAAAATGTAAGAATACACTTTACATTTTAGAAGAAAACCTTTTGCCTTTTGTAAAAGAAGGGACCAACTACATTCATGTTTTACTTTTCAGACTTAAGTTTGAAAAAAAAAAAAAATTCATAGATACTCCAGACAAAAAAAAAATGTACAGTGGTGTGAAAAAGTGTTTGCCCCCTTGCTCATTTCCTGTTTTTTTGCATGTTTGTCACACTTGTTTCAGAACATCAAACCAATTTAAACAATAGTCAAGGACAGCACAATTAAACACAAAATGCAATTTGTAAATAAGGGTGTTTATTAATAAAGGATAAAAAAAATCCAAACCATCATGGCCCTGTGTGAAAAAGTGATTGCCCCCCTCATTAAAATATACTATAACTGTGGTTTTTAACACCCGAGTTCAAATTCTCTAGCCACACCCAGGAGCCACACCTTAAATAGGAGCAGCCTGACACAGTAAAGTCCACCAAAAGATCCTTAAAAGCTACCCATCATGCCGAGATCCAAAGAAATTCAGGAACAATTGAGAAAGAAAGTAATTAAGATCTATCAGTCTGGAAAGGGTTATAAAGCCATTTCCAAAGCTTTGGGNGCTAACTACTCAGAGAAAACTTCTTCATTAATAAAGTACCTGTTGAGTTGCACTCAGACCCAAGGCATTGTAAGGAGTTCACTGCTTTTCAGATGCACATTGTTTACACCCTGTACTGCGTCATCAAATGGAAGGAACTTCAGTTACGTGAAGCTGACACCCCTGTTGGTGCTTCATTATTGCAGGTTTGTGCCAATAAAATTATCAATTGCCAAAAAACGAACAAAAAAGCTCAGATATGCTACTGGTTCACTGTGTACTGTTTTAGAGATATTAAAGAAGACCAATGTTTAATATCGACGTTGAAGCCATCCCAGTATGCTGCTGTTTGAGAATATGAAATGATTGCATAGCATCACATGTCATTCTTGTGCTGGCACTGAGTATAACAGTGAACATATTTACCAAATTTAGTGGCTGGAATGATTGTTTAATATTTAGTAAATCACCAGCCTCCCAGATCCTTCAGTTTTGTCATGCAGTTACCCCCAGCAACCCCATTACATGTCCTATCAAGGTCTCGCTGTCAGTATTTCACAATTAGAGCACAGATAAAACTTAAAGGTAGAGTGAACAATGTTATTTTTCTGGGTGGATCGCCAAAATAAGTGCTCATTGCCATTTTCACTTACCGGTGGTGAGTCTGACATAGTGGAAAAATTGCAAATTGTCTTTTGGAAAGTAAGTTTGTATGAGCGATGCAAACAGAAGCTTTTAAACAGAGTGTGCACCAGGAGAAATGGGCTCGTGCACGCTCTCACATGTGTTTAATAGGTGTTCCCTCTCTGGAGCGAGTACAGGGTTGTGCATGTGCATTTATTTTGTAACGTGGAGAGGGTGAATCTTTTCAAAAATTCACGAAAATCCTCCACTATACCTTTAACATCACAGGCTGCTGCTAAATTGTTCTCTATATCTAAATTGTTCTCTATGCACAACTTTTGAATTGGCATTTTTGGAAAAACCCGGGAAGTGCTGAAAAAGTAGATTGCTTTGGTTCATCCAGAGCTGCTTCTGGATGATGGTCAGATTCCGCGGTAATTCCTTTCTAATTTACTGGTGCAGAGAGCACCGATGCTGGGCAGAGTGCAGCGACAGACCGGAGGTAAGTGAGGACAAGCAGTCAAACTAGGCCTAAATGGGCTTTAAAATGTGTAACTGTACTATTTTGAGCCTCACCAAACTCTAATGTGTTGAGTTACAAAAATATTTCTTTTATTTTA